ATTTCAAATTGAATTCCAATGATCTGGTGGATGAATTCTGATTAGGACACGTTCGATTACCTACTAGTACAAAGATGTCTTGGTCAGAAAGTACAGAACCTGATGTCTTACTCTCCTGCCAGAATTTATGCATCATTTTGGTGTACGCTTTCTTGGCCCCACGCTTGTACGTTGCATGACATGGTATACTAGAGAACTGGTTTATTGACAAAGCCTATCGCTTGAAACGATAAAGTATGGGTTCGGGTGTGGTCAAATGCACCCATGGTGCTCATAAACTATGTGTAGTGCTCTCTTCACCAACAGAACACTACCATACTTTGCAGATCTTGTACCAATCCAAGGGATAATGATAAAGACAAAATTAATGTGTTTGAGTCATGCATGAAAACGTGTGATAACTACTAGCACTATAGTACAAACGTTTTTTTGTGCTATACCTGACAACAATAAGTAGGTTACACGCAAAACATTTCGCGCATCAATCCTCACAAGACAAGTCAAGACATACTCGGAGCAAAGCTAAATTGTTTTGTGTCATGCATGAACCTTGTGATAACTACCAGTACAATGTATTTCTTGTGCGACGCCTACTGTAGTGCGCCTGACAACAATAAATTTATCCAAAAAATAAGCGTATCATATTGATGCACGATCCTCACAAGACAAAGTCAAGACAAACTAATTGAGGCTTACCTGGTGCCAGACTCTTCTGTCACTGGCATTGGCGGCTTTTACATGTCGAGATAACCTCCAAGAGCAGTGGTCTGCACAGCCTAATGCAAGGCTACGATCTCGTAATCTGCGAGGTCGGCTACGCAAGAAACCTTGGGCCGTCTTCTCGACAGCGACGACAGCATCCTACCAGAAAAATCATTCCCCGCGGGCTGGGTATGGCTATACACTTTTGTCCACGCTCGCACCAGCCGAAGTCCCAAACGATTCGAGATTCTGGTGGCCAAGCTACTCGTCTTCTGTCGGACACAGCTGCTGAGGCATCTTCTTCCTCAACATTTGTTACGCGCGATGGCAGCTCCTCAGCAGAGTATCTGGGCTCCCTGCCCCAACCATATGTGGCGGTGGGTTGATGGTGGTCTTCACTGACCTCAGCATCGCTGCCTTTATTGCTGGGTACAGAGAATTGTTCGGAATAGCTCATCTTTCCTTGAAATTGTTTACTAAAATAATGCACCTAGATTCAGACCGTGCCACAATGACGTAGGCAGGCCGGGATGACATAGCCAAATGGCCACATGATGTCATGGCTCGGCCCCAGTTTTTGCAATTGCAAAGTGAAATATTATCAAGAACGCTTTGTCGTAGAGACTTGGGACCAAGACCATTTGACTCAGCACCCCAGACTCTACAGGATATGAAGGTTTCATTTTTCCGTGCAGTTCCCCTTTATAACATCTTTGGTTGCAATGTGTATGATACGAGTGCGCACTTGATTCTATTCATCGGCATAATTATGATTATTATCTCCAAGCTGCCACATTAACTAAAAGTGTGACTTACCTTGCTCAAGGCAAAAAGATCTGAACCCTTTTGAAGCAGAAATTCTATAACCTCCCGCTCGCCGTATTCACAGGCTGAGTGCAATGGGGTTTCTTGACGCTGGAGTGGGGAGAGGTGAGAATGTTGAATATATTTTGTTTTGGGGAAACAACAAGGAAAGGGACAGAGAGACAAACGACTACATGATTGATCACGGCAAGAGAGAGAGAGGGAGAGTGAAAGTAAGCAAGTGAGAGAGAGAGGGAGAGTGAGAGTGAGCAAGTGAGAGAGACAGGGAGAATGAGAGTGAGCAAGTGAGAGAGCTACAATGTAGATCAAAGGCCTGAGTGCCTATGACCAATACAGGTGCACAAGCAGCTGCTATACAGGAACTCCTCAAGCTTTGTGTACTGGGTGCAGACCAGCAAGAGAAAGGATTTACTAATAAACAGTGTACAGAAGATGGGGACCTAAGGCCCCATTCACACTACTTGAAAAAGTGCGTTATAGACCATTTTTCAGGCCATTCTCCTTGGCAACCTGGGTAATTTGGCGCGAAAGTATAAAAGTTACCTAAAAGGTTTCCGCAACTCCGGTACCCCTGTACAAGGCAACTTTTCTTTCAAGCAGAAGTCGACAGCTTGCAGGAAACTGTATTTTTCTTCCAGAGTACCAGTATTTCAAGTAAATTAGTTCAATATGCCGAAGGTTTTGTTCACGGATGATGTGGAGTGTCGTCTCATTGAGCTGTGGGGAGAGTACCAGAGAACAAAAAGTGGCACGATGATGAAGCGATCTGTCGCAGAGCGTCAGATCGCTTCCAAACTGAACGATTACGTCCAGCACCTTGGTAACAAGGATGTCGTATTCACGGCGGCGAGTGTCCACAGCAAGGTGGACAACCTGAAAACAAAGGCAAGAGAACTCTACAAGAAATATAGGAAGAAAACAGAAACCGGTTCTCCTTTTGGCAACCCTGGCCAAGATTCTGCCTACGACCTGCAGACTGCTTTTGTCACATGGACTAATTTCAAGTCGTGGCACAGTACGTTCAAGTGTGTTCCTGGCTACGGGCCTCTGCAGAGTATTGACTCCACAACAGTAGTGGTGAGCTCTGTTGATATTGCTAGCCTGACAGTCAGTACACCGTCAGCGCAGTCCCAGGCAAACTCAAACGTTACATCAGCATCGCGTGCCAGCAGCAGCAGCAGTCCATCACTGTCAGTGTCACCACTAGCTTCCACCCCTACAACGGTGAGGGCAGGTACCCGGCCAGCACTGACAGTGGATAGTGATGATGACGCTAGAATGCTTGATGATATGCTGTAAACGCCATGCAAGACAAGACCAACGCCAACAAAACGACCAGCAACATACACTACGGACGAAGAAGACGACAGCGATGACGATGATGATGGTGACATTGTAGAGGTCTTGCAGCCTGAGAACAGGCAGCACGTACAACAGCCACAGCAGCAGCCCCAGCAGCAGCCACATCAGCCCCAGCAGCAACAGCTCAAGAAGAAGAAAAAGAAGGTCGAGAAGAAGGGAGGTGCTGCAACCGCGCAGGCAACAGCAGCAGAGGCGATTGTCACTGCCATCACTGACTCCCAGAAGGAGCTACAGCAGAACCACCAAACATTCCTATCCACTATCATCAACCAGCACCAGACCATGATGCAGCAGCATCAAGCTCACACGCAAGCCTTGGTTCAGGGACAAATGGACTTCCAGGCTCAGCTGTTTCAGAAGTATTTGAAAGATTGAAAGATCACTGCTATAGCACGCTTCACTTCTCGATATTCCCTGGGATATTTTTTGTTGTGTATTCTTTCTTTTTGAGATCAACTCTCAAGGTAGGAATAGTCTTCACTCAATACATTGCATGCTATCAGACTAAATCACAACATATTATGTACATGTAGAAATCATGCACTGAGTGCATATTGCATGATAGTCCTGAATATTCTAAAACACATCTGGAGATGAATAAATACAGATGCAATCAACAACACGCTGCCGCAATTTATGGTGTGTGCACATATGCAGCGAGGGCTTCACGAATAGCAGCAGCAGGGGAAGAATTGACTGCAACGAGTGGAAGGGGTTCATAGTTGACGAGCTGGGGCAAGTAGCCAACATGCCTGCGTTCAACGATGTTATGCAGTCCACAGCACAGCAAGCCAACCTGGCTAGCAAAGTGAGGATCCTTGATGTTGCACTCATGAACAACAGAGAATCGGCCTTTGAGACGGCCGAAGGCACACTCGACGACACGACGTGCTCGGATCTGAGCGGCATTGAAACTGAGTTGCTGCGGCGTGAGCTGTCCATCGTCATGATATATCTTCATCATAGTTGTAGTGAGAGCAAACACACTGTCGCCAACTAGATACGGACGAACCACCGCATTGCCACACATCCCCGTCGTCGCATTCAGCCATACGTTGCTGATGATATTGGCTTTCAGTTGGCTGTTATTGAATACTCCAGCATCACCAACGCTTCCAGCGGCTCCGATATCCACAAACGTGAAGCGACCTTTGCTGTCAACGCATGCCATCAGCAGGATAGCTGAGAAGCCCTTGTAGCACCAATAGGTGTCACCGTACTCTTCTGGTTTTTGGATTTTCATAAACGTTCCATCCACTGAACCCGCACAGAAGGGAAGATTGGACAATGCTTCGAATTGACGCATGGTGCGGTTCAACTGCCGTCCCACAGGAAAGACAATACTGTCCCCTGTGACTGGTCCCACCAAGGCTGTCACAAATTGATGCACAATGCTGGCCACTGTACTGGTGCCGATCTGGAACAATCCAGCAATTTCTGAGTAGGTTTCTGCATGTGCTAGGAAATACAGCGCTATTGCAAAGCGCTTGCTCACTGGAATTGTCCGTCGTAGGTGAGTTGTGGCTCGCTCTATCAAATTACCGTAGCGCTGCACAAGGTAGAAGAACGTTCGTTTTCTCATTCTTAAATGCGTCCTCCATTGGGCAATCCAATATTGCCTTGGCTCGAGTCTAGCTCTCTCCCAATTACCCAGTACCTCCTTCTCCCAAAACCCGTCGCATGTAGCGTATTCATTTTGTGGATGGGCTGTCCACAACAGACGCTCGCCTCGAAGCTGTTCTCCCAGAAACAGGTGAAACAAAACTGGAATCCACAAATGCAGTGAATTCTCAGCATTCCCAAACAATTCAACCATATAGTTCTGAGGCGGAAGCTGTTGTGTCACAAAACCAGCCGCAGAAGTAGAAATGGCAAGGGCTGCGGCAATTCTTCGCCGACGTCTGTCACGGGCATGGCGATCCATGTCAGCGAAGGATTTCCTTGCAATAATTGTATCACCAGAAATTGAGAACGATCAACGAAAATTTGATGTGTTTTCAGATCGCCAGAAACTGTTCAAAAGTCTCGCGAAAATGTGGAGTTGAAATATTATGACCCTCTCTTCGAGGCGAAGGTAAAAAGTGCATCACGTGACACGCATAGCAAATCGTGTGTGAATAATTTTTTTTTCAAGTCGCCTTCAACATACTTTTGCAGGCAGCTGCTTTTGCGTAGTGTGAATGCGGCCTAACAGTTTGTTCAGGTTCTGAACAGAGTACTACTACTAGTAATCAGGAAATGTCATGCGTCAAAAGAGACCATGTCTGAGAATACCAACATATGTGTACAAGCTGATCTGTCCTTTCATTTTGCTCACAATCCCCGAGGTAGGTTCCCTTTGGGGTGTTTATCGACCGTCCTAAGACCTTGGAAAAGCTTCTTTTAAAAGGTAGAACCTCAACACAATGCGAACCAAGGAACATAATTACCCCCCCCCCCCCCAATAAGATGTCGGGATAATCCCTTTGGGAGCCCTTCTGGCTTCAACATAGCAGGGAGGTACTGCTGTTTGGTAACTCAGCATTTATGAAGGTTCGCGTTCTTGCAAGCGAGTCGCTTCGGGCCAGGAGGAGGATACGCAAAGCGATAAAAATTCGGGACATGGGCCCGAGAATAAACGACAACGCAGGATTGAACCTCCTGTAAAGGCATTCCTGGTACAAATTACTGGCCCAGTACTTGCTCCTCCCGGATAGTGAATCCTTTTTCTACTTCCATACACTGCTGTTGCCAGCATCTGCAATTATGTGCACATGTACATATTTATAAAAAGTAAAAATGACCAAGAAACTACAAGTTACACTATAATGTCCACTAACACCATCAGTTACTAAACAATTAGCTCATGTGATAACATTACTAGCCAGTTAGTTGTAGAACGTCCGTACCGCCGGTCAGTGTCGTGCAATGTTATCGTATGAGCTGATTGTTTAGTAACTGGTGGTGTTAGTGGACATTATAGTGTAACTTGTAGTTTCTTGGTCCTTTTTACTTTGTATAAATAATCCTTGGCTCTCCATCCGAGTTCATACATGTACATAATACATGCATATATTCTGCTTGGTGCATGTGCAATGTTTTACAGTTGTCACGTATCATGCTATTGCTGTACCAGTTTTGTGTTTGTTCCTGATGTTTCCTTAACCTCGTTTTCTCTCTCTCCATAGTTCATGCATGTATGAATATTATCTCCCCACAGCACTGTTCATTATCAAACCTTTCCCAATAGTGCCTGTAAAGTCTATATCCAGCCCACTGATAATGGTGCAGAGCCACTCCGTTTTATGGGTATATCAGCACTGCTTGTTGTACTGTTGTGCATTATCATACTACTACGCATTCTTTCCTCATGTTGTATTCACGTCAGCTGACGTATGATGCGCGTAGTCGCGTACACTGCTTTCATTCCTCACGTTGTATTCACGTCTGATGCGCGTAGTCGCGTACACTGCTTTCACTTCTCATGTTGTATTCACGTCTGATGCGCGTAGTCGCGTACACTGCTTTCACTTCTCACGTTGTATTCACGTCTGATGCGCGTAGTCGCATACACTGCTTTCACTTCTCACGTTGTATTCACGTCTGATGCGCGTAGTCGCAGACACTGCTTTGTTGGTTGGTTGGTTGGTTGGTTTTTATTTCACTTCGCACATTCAAACGGGATGACGACCCAATAAAATGACGGCGAAGGCTTAGCCTAGAAGTGGCTATGGAAGAACATAGTAAAAGCTATGGAAGCACATAGTAAGAGAATAGGATACTAATAACTGCGGGTAAACGGGGGGAGAGAGAGAATACGATGTATCTGTGATACTACGTGCGGGTTACTGAACTGCACGGGGAGGGAGAGCAGAGCAATCAGCAGCAACTCGAACTACTCTCTACAGGCGTATGGTACACATGCATGCTTAAACTCAGGTAGCCGGGTAATTGTGCGGACCTCACCAGGGAGAGCGTTCCACAGCAGAGCACCAGCAACAGAAAATCTCCGCTGACCGCGGCGGCTACGGTTTGCCTGGCTTAGTAGGCCATTTGACTGCTGATGGCGGGTAGGGGTGCCTTGTGCCGGGGTCAGAAGCTGGGCGAGCACAGGGCTGGTGCGGGCGTTGATGCACCGCCAGATGGTGATCAATATTTTCTGCCTGTAGAGCTCCCTGACACGGTACAGGGAGTGAGCAGTGAGCAGCGGCTGCATGGCTGTCCGGGGCGGGTTGCCATCGATACAGCGGATGGCTCTGTTTTGCGTGGTTTGCAGTCGTTTCAGTTGACCCTCTCGCATTGCGGCTGAAAAACAGCAGGAGCCATAAAGCAGGTCGGGCATTATGACCGCCTTCACATACACCTGGCGAGAGCGTCTTGATAGGCTTCGGCGTGCCCGCCACAAGGCGCCAATTTTCTTGGCAACCTTGGTGACCACATAGTTTACATGGGTGTCCCAATCTAGGCGATTGTCAAGGTGAACGCCGAGGTAGCGCGCAGAAGACGCTGAGGGGAGGAGACAGTCGCCGCTTTTGACTGTTACTTCCTGTACATGCTGCTGGGGAGAGATAGTCAGAACCTGGCTCTTGGTGGCGTTCAAGATAAGGCCTCGGGACTTCAGCCAACCGGCCAGAGCAGTTGCCGCTGTGGTGAGGGTTCTGGACGCTTCCGCCGCTGAGGCCTGGGAGTCGTACAAGGCTATGTCATCTGCAAATTGTACACTTGGCACAGGCGAGGAAACCAAAGGGACATCGCGTGTGTATATACTGAAGAGGACAGGGCCGAGAACAGAGCCTTGGGGCACTCCGCAGGTGCAAGCCAGAGCAGGGCTGGTTGAAGGCGAGATGAGGATCTGCTGCTTGCGGCCGGACAAGCAGTCGACGAACCAACTAAGGGCTTTTCCAGAAATTCCAACCGCAAGGAGGTCTTGAATTAACTTGTCGTGGTGCACTTTATCAAAAGCCTTCGACATGTCTAATAGGCACAGCCCTGTAGTCTTGCCACTGTCTCTCGCCTTCTGCAGATTATCAGTCAGCACACAGAGGGCGTCTTCCGTGGAACATTTCTTGCGGAAGGCAAATTGTGTTTCGGGTAATGCCTGGGTCAAGTCCAAATGACGAACTAACTGGTGTTGCACTACCCTCTCCAGCAACTTGGACACTATTGGGAGAAGGGATACAGGTCTATAGTTGGTGGGGACTGATGGGTCACCGGCCTTGTACAGTGGCACGACAGACGCCAATTTAAATGCGGATGGAATGGTTCCAGTCCTCAGCGAGGTGCAGAACAGCACAGCAAGAGAATATGCAAGCAAGTCAGCACACTGCTGTAGCAGAGAGCCCGGTATGCCGTCACTACCTGTGGCTTTCCGCGCATCCAACAGCTTTCACTTCTCATGTTGTATTCACGTCTGATGCGCGTAGTCGCGTACACTGCTTTCACTTCTCATGTTGTATTCACGTCTGATGCGCGTAGTCGCGTACACTGCTTTAACTTCGCATGTTGTATTCACGTCTGATGCGCGTAGTCGCATACCCTGCTTTCACTTCTCATGTTGTATTCACGTCTGATGCGCGTAGTCGCGTACACTGCTTTCGCGCGATCTTTTGATTTGAATGTTTTTTGAATCTCCGCTTCTGCTTCGAGAGAGGCAGAACTTGCCTTTGTACTGCAAGATGATTTCCAGCAGAGTCAGAGTAAAACATTATAATACAGTCTTCTAAAACAACGAGTCGTGTGCTATCCGGAGGCATGTTCGAGTATGAACAGTAGTGCCCATACCCAAATTCATTCTTGATGTCCTTGTTGCTATTATCATTTCTGATGATGGGTATTTTATGACGGAAACAATAAAATATTTTCCTGATATGATTTTACGTGAGCCAGTGTTGCTCACAATCCACTTTCACTAATGAAGGTGAGTGACACATCCTACAGGTTCCTTCATCTAGTAGTTGTTTGCTTTACAAAACCGTATTACGTTCTGTCCTAGGATTCCTATTTCATGTGCATTAGGCCGCACCAGGTAATTTCTATGTTTCGCGTCACCGCGCGTGTATCTTTTCAAATCGTTCATGTTGTGTTCGCCTGGTGCCACGCAGGAGTCCCTCGTGGAACAAGACAATGACTGATTATCACGGGTGTTTCAGCAGCACCACTTAAAAATATGGCGTCATTTCGCGCGGTTTGGCAGGATTATGTTAGATTGATTGGATTGGATTGGATTGGATTTTTATTTATAGTGGTGACTATAACAGACAATTGCCTAATAACAATAGACCCACTCGAGGGAAAGATGCAAAAAGATATGAATAATTAATATGATAGACTACCGGTATTGGATAGGTGATCATGTTTGCATTTTGCATAGCTGAAAGTCATAATTACTAGCGTGAAAAAGCAAGGCATTGGGGTAACAGTTTCTTAAAACGGGCGGAGTTATCCACACAGCGAGCTAGAGGGTGCAAATCATTCCACAGCTTAGCACATTGGAAGGAAGCGCCATGATGGGCAAAGGCAGTTCTGAGCATGGGCAACTTAAGAGTGCGTGATACAAGGCTGCGCGTTGCAAGACCATTATTTAAACGCTCGAACATTTGACTT